CAAACCTAAAATAAAATCAATAGCTCCCACCCCCCTCTCCCGCTTCCGCAAAAATAACCTCTCCACCCCGCCCCAACCCTGACAACCACCCCCAACTCTTCCCTGAAGTGACGTGTTACGGCTCCCATAAGGCCCATAAGAGCTGATAGTATTCATAGACCCGTGCAGAATCGTGTGAGGCCGTCAGATCAATCCGCCTTGTCTCTCGTACACCATCTCAATACTCTCGCGCAACACTTCTTCATCTCTATGTTCCAGAGCTATATTTTTTCCCATTTTTTGTAGTATTTTCTGTTTCTGTCCTTTCTTCATATTTTTGTTTAATTCCTTTTTGTAGCATTTTCTCTGTTTCTGCCCTTCCAAGAAAAAATCTTGACCTTATGTAGTTGCGAGCGCCGTAAAACACTTACCAAAAATAAAATCATTCTCACATACAAAAACCTAAAGGAAAGTTAAGGACATAATCCTCGATGACCTTTGCCCCTCCCTCTTCCCCCCCCCCCAAACCGAATGTTGTTACCGTACCACACACGACGCGATGCACCTATAACAGTGACAGAAATAGAAACACTGTTGTTGCAAATTGTGAGAGTGTTGCAATGTTACTTCCTCGCCCTCCCCGCCCATCTACATCCCAGCGGGGGCATAAGGCCCAGGTGTTTGGGTCTTGAGAAAACTATCGCTCCATATGTCTGAACTGTACTTTGAACTAGAAGAAAGGATGAAGGCGGGAGAGAGAGAGCGGGGAGGGAAAGAGCGAACGGGAAAAGGGTGAGAAGGAGGGAGGGAGAGCCTGGGAGAGGGATCGAGGGAAATAGAGGGGAAGAAAGAGAGTGAGAAAGAGAGAGAGACCAGAGAGGGGTGCCCTCGAAAAAATGTGCCCGGTAGGGAGATTATTTAGATACGTATGTCAGTGAAACGTACTAAAGGAGCGAACTGGGCAGATGGTATAGGGCGTGCTTTCACTCAAAGGTGAGCATTTTCCGGACTCACCGGTATATTCATTTTATACCTTGCCAAAATGGGTGACGGGGAAAACGAAACGGGGGCCCCTTCTCTCAAAAAGACTACCTTTTCCCATAGTACATTTAATAGTTTCGTGGCACAAGCTGCCCGTGTGCCTTAATCACGACAACCTAAAACTCAAGGATCAGATCATCATCATATTGTTATCATAATGTTGCTTTCGATCGACATTACAGCTGCGACTAATTTATTGATGACAGTCTAGTTGTCACTATGTCTTTAGAATATGTCTTTATGTCACTATGTCTTTAGTAAATAGAAAATGTAAATGAACATAAATAAATTCCACGTTATTGCCCCCCTTAGGAAATTTCTTTAACAATAGAAAAACGTAAACTCTTAATTATTGAACTGATACACAAAAACTGAAAAATTCACAATATCACAAACATAGACACTCCACACACCATTGCTGGTCACCACACTGTGCAGCACCCTGTTTTTTAATCCAATGTTATCGTGTGTCCTTTTACATGGAGGCCAGAATTAGCGTTTCAGGGTTAGCATTAAAACTTCTATGAAGGTATTCAGTATCGACCACAAAATATGGGGGCAGACTGCCCAGACAGAGTCGGGTGGCAGTCGCAGAGATTTGTTGTTTTTTTAAACCGAAGTGCCGTAGCTGAGCAGTGCTGGTTGGCAAGCAAGAATAGATCTCCTCCACCTGCGGCCACCATCTCCTGCCTACATTACGACAGATCTTTCCAAACACAGATCGGCCCGACAAGTCATCGGCACACTCGACCTCGACCCCAGGATAACTAGAGTTCTTCGTCGCCCCGACGGAGGTGCAACTCAAATAGAATATTATCGTCCTATAAGAGCCAGATCTGCGTATCATTATATGGCTCGAAAAATTTTTCAACAATCGAAAGCGCGTATCATGGGCTTCATTTCTATATTGGTTTCATTGAGTTCCCCGCCTTAAAATCGCTATAAAAAGCAAATAACTGTTCCACTTATCATAGCTGTTTGCTTCCAAATTAGCTCATCTTGAGATGTGCGGAATGGATTACAATATTGTTACAACTTAGATGACGCCATAAGAATTAATACGGAACCGACAGTAAAGCCAGGAATGCCTAAATCGCGTATCATATGATATGGTTTTGGGGCTTGATCGTTTCCGGTGCGTTAATCATTGTTGATCATTCATGTATACCTACATTAATCAGTTGTTGTTTTTTGTTCCTACTGAAAAATTCGCTAAATCATTGATACGTGAAACTGGCTCTTATAGGACGATATTATCCACAACCACACAGGCGGCCTTGGGGGATTTATTTACCACCCATGCAGGTTTGGGCAATTTGTTTGAAGATCACCATAGAAAACGACCACAATCTCAAATTGGCAATTACTGACATGTCTTTTGCTTGAGTGTTACTTCTATAGACTGTGAGATCTTGACAAGCTGAGATACGTCAAAGACATCTACGCCTACCACACAAACAACCTTGGACTTGGGTGATTCTTTTTAAGACCACAAACAGAAAAAGTATCAAAGTCAGAACTTCAAAGTGATTGAATTACACACACCAAATTCCATGGTTAACTCATTTGTAAACCTGTCAACAACAGGCGTAGTTCAGAGCTATGGACATTTTTAGAAGTACCGATAATACAAAAATGATCAAAGTACTAAAAGTTTTGAACTTAAGCTTTCAATTTTATTCTACCCCACAAAAGGTGACTTTTCAATCGTTGATCCTGTTTTTTGTTCATTACGTTTCAAAGATTTCATCTAATCAACAATATGTCCAAACCTAATCTCAAACTGTGCCGTAGAGTCCATGATTATGTTATCTAAATACATATTTACTTCTGTCAGGGTCTTTATAGTCAGATCGACTTCAAAGTGACGTCCGAAAGCTCTGTTGTTCTGTTTTGTTTTTCGTCTCGTGTCCCACTTTGTTTTTGACACCCACTGTTGCAAAATATTTTGTTTTTCATTGAAGGTAATATCGTATATGTGTTATGCATCCTTCTACAAAATCTACTTCATGTAGGGGACAGGCTGCCTAGACCCTGATTGTCAGGTCAGGTCAGGGCCAACCCTGGCTGAGAAGGATACAACGTCCCACCAGACAGACAGAGATACTAGATCAAATTTTAATATCTCCCCACCCGAGAATCCAACCTACTTTTTGAAACAAGGGCAACAGTGCTACAAACACAACGTTGTTGAAATTTTGTTACGGTAAAAAAAAGAACTTGCCACAGAGAGAGAGGCAATGTTTTGAATTACGAAAGAAGAGAGTGTAGATGACAGTGCTGGTGGCAGTAATGAAGGAGAGGTGAAGATCTTATTTCTTCTCTTTTTGTTGTTTTTGTAGGTTGTTGTTGTTGCTGCTGCTCTTGTGGATGTTGCTGCTATTATCGTTAAAGTTGTTGCTGCTGCAACTGCTATTTTAGATCAAAATGGTGTAATGCTCAAACCTCCGCAGACGCTATATTGGCAGGTAAGAATGTGAACTCTTTGAGTCCTCCCGCAAACTGAAACGACAACCAATTAGCTCTCAAAAGTTAAACAGTGATATTCTTTCACCAATGTGAAGCACCTAGAAACAGGAAAAGTGAGTGTATGTATGTATGTATGTATGTATGTATGTATGTATGTATGTATGTATGTATGT